CAGAGCGTCGGAGCGGGGGGGCGGGATCAGGGCAGAGAGGGGCAGGTCAGTGTTTCTTTCCTCCACTGAATGCACACAGTTCAGTTCGTTATCTCTCTTTTTTTTTTTTTTTTTTAAGAGGTTTTTGGTATAGGGCTCATGCACTCGCCAGAGAGAGAGACAGAGAGACAGAAAGTGAGAAATCACCCCCCAGGGGGGATGGCCACTCCGCAATCTCTTCTCCTCCATTCTCCTCTCGGGATCTTGGGCACGCAAACACACACACCCAGCATGAATTTAAGCTACCAGGTCCGGGACTCAAACCACAGTCGACTACATGGGAGTCCGGCAACAGAGCCATTACGCTAACTGCTGGTCCCCCAGGATCCAGCCACTTTAACCAGCATGCCACCAGCTGGCCCCAGTCAGCAAGTACCTCATAACCCAGATGGATGGTGCCTCTGGGGACAAGCCTCATACTCACCGTGGGTGGCCCCTGGGAGATGCTGGCCCGGGAACCGGGGGCCAGGGGACCGCCAGCTATGGCCATGGCCACAGAGGGGTTGATGGTCCCTCCAATGTCTCCTTCGCCTTCTGTGTCCGAGTCGAGCATCGAGGCCAGCCTTGACCGCGGTCCTGGGCCCTCTGGGGGAGGGACAGGGGTAAGCGCTGTCCCTCTGTCTCATGTCAGAGGACTTCACTGACACTACCCCACAGACCAGGTGTGTGTGTGAGGGGTCTCTGGTTATCTATTCTAGAACTCACTTTTTTTTCCCTTAAAGTTAGTTCATTTATTTCTCCTATGAGTGAGAGAGAGGCAGAAAGACAGGATCTTCATGCCACAATCCACCCCGGCCTCAGCCAGCCCTGGGTCATGGGGACAAGCATCCTTGATCTACTAACGGAGGTCTCTGTATGCGAACTCAGAACCTCCCCACATGGCATGGCCTCATAAAATGTTGGATTTTACCAAAACACTACCATCTGGCCCCACGTATTAAACTTTCAATTAGATATGAGGGGGTCGTCAAAAAGACCACAGAAAATGCATTTTCACCAAAAAAAAATCCACATGTGGATTGCAAAACATTTTGCACCAAAATAAACTCAGGATTTAATTTTCCCATGAATTTTCTTTTTCTTTTGAGAGATTTTTGCTATAGGGTGCGCATGCTCACCAGAGAGACAGAAAGTGAAAATCACCCCTTGGGGGGGGGGATGGTCACGCCACAATCCCTTCTCCTCCAGTCTCCTCTCCAGATTTTGGGCACACACGTACACGTGCCTGGCGTGAGTTTTAAGCCTCTTGGTCTGGGACTTGAACTGTGGCCGAGTACATGGGAGTCCAGCGACATAACCCTTACAAGCATCTTCGGGTCCCTCTCCATGACCTTTCTAAAGTCATCTTGCATATGAATTGCGTGACTGTTTGTGAACTCCATAAAGACCTGGGGGTGTCTGTTCTGGCCACAGTGAAATGCTCTACACTTAGGTCAAGGCCTGGCCCATTGGAGTCGTAAGAGTTAAGATGACGAGGGTGATGATGACAATGACAACCACAAAAATTACACTGCTGCCATTGGTATAGCACCAATTAGCACTCCCACACTGCCTCTGGCCCCTTAACAATATTAATTCTGGGGCTGGCAGGTGGCGTGGTAGTTAAGGCACTGGACTCCCACATGGCTGACCATGGCTCAAACCCCAGAGCCAGCAGCTTGAAACTCACACTGGGTGTGTGTGCGTGCATGGCCAAAATCCCAAGAAAGGAGCGGAGAAGGGAGGGGCCACTTTCCCACTTTCCTTTTCTGTCTCCCTCTAGCAAGTACACATGCCCTCTGGCCGACTTTTTTTTTTTTTTGAGAGGTTTTTGCTATAGGGCTCATGCGCTCGCCAGACAGACAGAGAGAGACAGAGAGACAGAAAGCGAGAAATCACCCCCCAGGGGGGATGGCCACGCCGCAATCCCTTCTCCTCCATTCTCCTCTTGGGATCTTGGGCACGCATGCACACGGGCCCAGTGTGAGTTTAAGCCACCGGGTCTGGGACTCGAACCGCGGTCGACTACATGGGAGTCCAGCGACATAACCATGACGCTAACTGCTGGCTCCTGGCAAACATTTTTTAAAAAGAAAAGTAGAGGAAAAGATAGGCAAAAATGGGCAGAACGGTAAAGCATTTCAACCGAGAATTAGGGTCTAAAACAATGAACACCTAACAACTGAGAAATGTAACACCTGAATTAAGAAACTCAATGGAGGAGGAAAACAGAAGGCTGGACACAACACAAAGGGAATCGGTGAGCTCAGGCAGGTGAGCAGAAAATTCCCCAACCGAAGCACAGAGAACAAAAGGAATGGGAGAATCAGAACCGAGCACTCACAGACGTGCAGGGTGATCGAAAGGTCAAACATACGTGTTATTGGAGTCCCAGGAGAGTAGAGAGAAAATGAGGCAGGAAAAAAAAAAAAAATCAAAAGGTAACAGCTGAGAATTTCCCTGCAGAGATGAAAGGCATCAACCCACAAATCCCAAGCCTGTGCTTCCAACCACTGTCCCTTACTGTCCCTCATGGTGCTGAGAAATGTTTTTAGAGTAAACAACTGAATGACTCTGGTTGGCTCCCACCATCTCACCTGGCTGTTGCCCATTTTCTGGTCTTTGCATTCTCTCTTAAAAGATAATATACAATAACATTTCCCATTTATCATGAGCTGAAATTATGAGAGTACTATAGTGCCCCAATTGTTTTGTTTTGTTTTGAAAGGTTTTTATTATAGGGTGTGTGCGCTCACCAGAAAGAGAGAGACAGACAGACAGAAAGCGAGAAATCACCCCCCAGGGGGGATGGTCACGCCGCAATCCCTTCTCCCCCATTCTCTCGGGATCTTGGGCATGCATGCACACGTGTCCAGCGTGAGTTTAAGCCACCGGGTCTGGGACTCGAACCACAGTCGACTACATGGGAGTCCAGCAACATAGCCGTTACGCCAACTGCTGGTCCCAAGTGCTCAAATTTTCCCATCTCTATGACGTACTTGGTGCCATTACTGTCCCCATGTGACAGGTGAGGTGACGATGGCCCTGTGGCTGAACTTAACCTACCCTGCTGAGCTTAGTGCCCGTGTGCTTACTCCTAAGTACCCTCCCATCTTTCCCACCTTATCCCTCATATGATCAAGCCCCTAGATCAGGTGCCCCCCCGTCCTCTGGCATGCTGACCAGAAAAGTCATGGAGCCGTGGCAGCGTGTCTCGTGCGGGGTACTCAGGACACAGCAGATACGGCCCCTGGACCTCCCACGGGCCCCACAGACAGACAGGACCTGTGCTTACCCCTCGGCCTCAGGTTCGAGGGCCAGCGCCAGCTCCGTCAGCAGGAGCCCAGCCAGGAAGTGCTGCTGTCGGAACGGTCCGCTCAGCTCGAACATACTGGTCACCTTGGGGTCCGGGGCCTGGCTGGAGAAGGTGGAGCTCTGCAGAGAGTGGAGGATAGAATTTGGGAATAGCAGGACATCCTGATCAAGGGTCAGACGTCACGGCTACAGCAGTCAGCGTGGTAACAGAAGTCACATTGTTGGTGTCAAGAACCAGACATGAGGGGCCAACAGGTGGCATGGTGGCTAAGGTACTGCATTCCCACATGGCCAAGCACGATTTAAGCCTCGGACCAGGTGGTTTGAAAATCACAACAGAACTGCGATTTGAGTTCCCGGACCCAGTGGCTTAAACTCACGCCCCGCATGTGTGCCCAAGATCCCGAGAGGAGAATGGAAGAGAAGGGATTGCGGTGTGGCAGGCCCCCCTGGGGGGGGGGGGGGTTTCTCACTTTCTCCAAAATAAATAAATAAATAAATAAACTGTAAAAATAAACAAGTAAATAAAGTTAAATAAAATAATTTTTTTAAAAAAATCACAACAAATAAAAAAGTAGATATATAAATATGTAAATGTTAAAAAAGAAAAGTTGAGGACCAGCAGATGGTGTAATGATGACAATCGCTGGACTCCCACATAGTCACCCGCAGTTTGAGTGCTGGACCCGATGGCTTAAAATTCGAGCCGGGCACATGCGCGCGTGTGCACAAAGTCTCGCGAGAATGAAGAAGGGATTGTGGTGCGGCCATCACCCTGAGGGATGATTTCTTGTTTTCTGTCTCTGTCTCTCTCTGTGTCTCTGATGAGTACTTGTCCCCTGTAACAACAAAATAAAACTCTCTAATAATCCTTTAAAAAATTTTTAAAAAGAACCAAAGAAAGACTATGGGCTGAAGGTGAGAGGTTGTAGGTCCAGGAAAGGAGGCAGACAAGAGGCCAGCCCAACCTGGGAGGTGGTGGAGGACACGGAAGGGGAGGGCGAGGCTGGGGGTGACAGGGGGCAGCAGGGCAGGTTGAGGGTCACGTAGTGCTCGTGGCTGCACAGGATACGGGTGAATTCCACGCGCAGGCTCAGCAGCGCCGCTGGGTTCGGGGCCCTCTGGAGGCGGGTGGCCACCTGCAGGGGGCGGCAGAGATGCAGATGCTGATGAGGACATAGCAGCGCCCACAGCGCCCGCCCCTCAGCCCTGCACAGTAGTCCACGCCCACCCCTACCTGCTTGTAGTGGGCCCTGACCAGGCTGAAGACGAACCCACGATCCGTCAGGGACAGGAGGTCGCTCAGGAAGAAGGCCAAGCTGGCATTGAGGCGTTCAGCCAGCTCTGTGTCCTGTGGGGGAACAGCGGTCATCAGCCCACACTCATTGGTCAAAGCGAGCCTCGGTGACCTCGCGCAGGTGCTATGTCACTGCTCCAGAGCCCTGGGTCTTCTTGTCACATCTCTGGTCTCCCCTGGTTGTCTTCTCCCTTGTGACTTTCCCAGGCTCCATGCTGCCAGAGCACACGGCCAAGTAGAAACTACATTTCCCAGCCTCCCTTGCAGCTATGCTACCACGTGACCATATTCTGGCCAATGGGAATGGAGAAGCGAGCTGCCTGCCTGCCTGCCTGCAATGCCTGATTTGGCCGTGCCATGCTGAAACCTAAGGGTCAGGCCCATGCTGGAGAACCCCTGCAGCCCACTGGCAGTCAGAAATAAACTGTTTATTTTTTTTTTAATGCCAGTGGGTGCATGCACTAGCCAGAGAAAAATAGAGCAACAGAGAGAGGGAGAAAAGGATCCCTAATGGGACGTGGCCATACAACGATCATTTCTCCATTCCTCCTCCCTGCGCGGATTTTGGGTATGCATACACACACCTGGTGTGTTTTCAAGCTGCCAAGGCCAGAATTCAAACTTTGGTCAGGCATGAGGGACCCTGCTCCCTGGAACACTGGGGTATGAGGCCAGCCCTAAGTTTTGGTTACTTTTTTTTTTTTCTTTTTAGTTTTGCTATAGGGTGTGTGTGCTCCCTAGAGAGAGAGAGAGACAGAGAGAGAGAAAGGGGATGGGAACCCAGCCATATCTGCCTCCCCTGTTCTTCTTTTCTTCTTTTTTATGATTAATTTTATTTATTATTATTATTTTTTTTTTTTAATTCGACCAGAGAAACACAGACAAAGAAAGTGAGAAAGCAAGCCACCACGTCTGGGATTCGAACTGGTCTGCTATGTGGGATTCCAACGCCTTAACCACCATGCCACCTGCCGGCCCCATCCCCTGGCTTCTGGAATAGTCCAGGCACGACTCTCCCTTGGGACCTTTGCATTTGCCATTTCCCCTGCCGGGAACACTCTCTTCCCAGACATCACACAGATTACTCTCTGACCTCACGTGCTCCCCTAAAACACAGCCAGTGAGGACCAGCATCCTGACCTTCGATATCCCCTGCTGTCTCTAAGCCCAGCGCAGGGCTGTGCACTCGGCAGGCGATCAAAACACAGAATACGCACAGACTGGCTCAGCAAAGCACATTCCTGCTCTCGTAGCCAGGAGGCCCCGGCCGGAACTGGCACCTCCAACCCGCTGTCCTCTCTCAGGCCACATCCCCATTGAGGCCCTGAACTCCTCACCTTGTGGACGCGGGTGATGACCTCCAGGCCCACCGAGCCCACCAAAGCTGAGATGTCATCCAGAAAGCGCCCGGGGAAGCGCAGCTTGCGGGGCGTTTCCAGCCGCTGGCCCAGAAGCAGGAGCAAGGCCATGCTCTTCACCTGAAGGCGGGGCGAGAGGGTAGGGGTGGGGCTGTGGGCGGGACCTGAAATGCTGTGGGCGGGGCTAGAGGTGCAGAAGAGGCGGGACCTTAGCAGCTATGGGAGGTAGGCTGAAGGGGAGCATAAGACCTGGCTAAGGGCGGGGCTTGATAGTCATGGGCGGAGTTTGAGAATCATGGGCGGGGCTTGAGCGGGTCCTGGGCAGAGAGCAACAGGTGGGAAGGCTGAGGGGGTGTGGGAGAAGCTTAAGCCAGTCTGTGGGGCAGCTTGTGGGTGACCTGGAGGTTTGAGTTTAGGGAAGCCCCAGGTCAGGGAGCTGGAGGTGATGTGGCCAGTGGGCTCTGGGAGGGGTGTTCAAGGCACCTGGAAGAGTCTGGAAGGAAGGGGTCTCAAGCCTGATGACAAGGTTTTCTCTAAAGGGGGACATCTCTTAGAGAAGGGAGATCCCCCTCTGGATAAAGGTCTCTCCTTGGTCTCTTTCTCCACACAATCTCATAGGGAAGGGGGTGGGGTGTCCCCTGGAGGTCTCTTGCTGCCAGGCAGGGCGGGGGCTCACCATGAGCTGGAAGAAGAACCAGGCGTGCTGGACCACGGCCTCGCGCACCGCACTGCCGCTGACCACCCACTGCAGAGCCAGCTCCTCGTGCAGCAGCTGGGGACAGGGACGGGGGTCATGGAGAGCGACATGCCACCGCTCCCGCCCCAGCGCCCCCTGGAGAGCAGGAGGGAGGTGCAGCTGCAGGGCCTGGGTTAGAGCAGCAGGTCATGCAGGAAGTCCAGGCACCCCTTCCCTGGGTGTCCACACCCTGCTGGGCTCTGGGCCCCTTTGCTGAAGTCGGGACAAGGCTGAGTCGCCCCCTCCCCCTGCTACCTTCGGCACAGTGGGTCTCGGCTGGGTGGCCGGCGGGGCCGAGGCGGCACCCTCGACGTAGGAGGAGGCTCGGCTAGAAGCACGGTCGGTGGCCTATGATGACATGGGGTGAAGAGGATGGGATGGCGGGGGGGTTGTGCAGGGGGGGCGG